TTCAAGAAACACACATTAAACAGCAGCATTACAAATATCTGATTTACCCGAAGATTGGGAAACTCTACTACTCAGCCGCACAACAAAAGAAAAGAGGAGTAGCTTTATATGTGAAAGAAAAGTTAAACTCTAAGCATGTCTATTCTGATGAAGAAGGGAGAATCTTAATGGTAGAAATAACAATAAATCAACAAAGGTCTTGATGATAGCAATATATGCACCTAATAGTAAATAAGAAAAATTCTATCGTAAGCTATATAAAACAATATTGGAAAAAGAATACCAAAATATTTGCATATTAGGTGATTTTAATGCAATTGTAGATGAGAGACTTGATTACAAAAACAGTAAAAAAGAGAAAAAGAAAAGAAGACTGCCAAACGGTTTATTTCAGATGGCAGAAGAACTAGGATTAGAAGATATATGGAGAGAAACAAATACTAAAAGCTCTCAATTTACCTTCTATTCAAATAGACATAAATCCTGGTCGAGAATAGATATGATGTGGCTATCCTCAGAAATAAAAACTGAAATACAGGAAGTAGAAATAGAAACCAATATTTGGGCAGACCATAACCCAATGAAAATGCGGTGGAAAGGAGAGAGGAAAGAAAGGACAAGATGGACTTTAATACCACAGAATACTGAAGGATAAAGAATTTGTGGAAAGAACTAAAAAAGAAATGGAACTCTTCTTCAAAGAAAATAAAAAAGAGGAAATATCCCTGCAAACAATTTGGGACACAGCTAAAGCATACTTCAGAGGATTGACCATATCATATACAGTGGTGCCTTGCTTAACGAGCGCCCCTTTTAATGAGGAATCCACATAGCGATGAGGTTTTTCCGATAACATTGTGAAGTTTTAGATGGCCAAAAATCGCTTTGCGATGATCGGTAAGCGTTTCGCTTAACGATTTTCGCATAGTGATGTTTTTAAAACAGCTGATCGGCGGTTCCAAAATGGCCACCAGAAAAAATGGCCGCCCACAGTGTTTTCGCGCCCTTTCCTCACTTACTGGGCAGCGAAAATGGTGACCAGATGGAGGATTTCCGCATAGCGGTGAGTTTTTTTCCCCATAGTAATACATTAAACATGTTTTAATGCGTTCCTATGGGGTTTTTTTCCCCGCATAACGACGAATCTGGATAGTGATGATTTTTTTGACATGGATTATCGTCGCTATGCGGGGCACCACTGTATAGCCAAAATGAATAAAAGAAAAAACCAACTTACAAAACTGAAAGAAGAACTTAAAAAACTGGAGCTAGAGCTACAAAAAGAACCGCAGAAGAAAACTCTTAAAAATCAGATGGAGATAGTGAAACATAAATTAAACTTGATAGAATCAGAAGAATTGGCTCAACAAGTTAAAAGAGCTAAACGAAAATTCTTCGAGAACGCCAATAAACCTGGAAGATGGCAATCCTATAGGTTGAAAAAAGAAAAACAAAGAAGACTGATAACGAAGTTACAAGATCAAAACGGAGACCTCCAATATCAAAAAGAGCAAATAAAAATATAACTAAAGAATATTATGCTAATCTCTATGATCCCCAAGAAATTTCTCTTGAAAAGATAGTACAATATATCAAAAAAGCAAATCTACCTAAAGTACCAGAAAACATTAAAAATCTCCTAAATGAGAAAATAATAATGATGGAAGTAACAGAAGCAATTAAAAAACAAAAAAATTATAAGACTCCAAGAGCAGATGGACTACCAGCGGAATTTTATAAATCCTTCCAAGATATAATAAGC